CTCTGCACACTGTGTTTGACACCAAAATACACACAAAGGCAAAGTGAATTCTGTGGTCAGGAAAAGGCAGGAGTGCTGCTTGAACTGGTCATTACAATCAGTAGCCTAATCAGAGGCGTCGCTCTCTCCTGCCCAAGATCACGACTTCTGTCCCCCCCCCAATATCACCTGGCATTGTTCACCTGTTTCCTTCTACTCCTCTCCTCTCTCAGATGTTTGGACTTTGCTTTTTTGCCTGCTCCTCTTCACTGTAGCCTGTCTGCTTGGCCTACCAGTCCACTCTCATGTATGATCCCTGCATGTTTCCTGCATGTATCCTGAGTAAGCTTGTTTATATGTTTAAGAAAGTACACTCTTATGACATCTGCCAGTCATCCTGTCTCATCACTGTGGCAGTTTTTGCCATTCTCAATAGGAATTGTGACACTCAGTCTCTCAGTCATTTCTCTTGTACGGAAGCTAATACTCTTCCGTACTCTTGCTTGCTCTCTCTTTTATGTATTAAATATTTAAAAGAAGAACCATTGTGTATTTTATGCACATAAAAGACAACATTGAAAATAGTTCAGAGTTGAGATTTTCTATCTAAATGTCTAAAGTAACTTAAGGAGCAATTTTCAAAGCATATTCAGTGATGTGTGTCCTTGCTTAGAGCTAAAAGCAAAAGCAGCTGCAGTCAAAGTGAACTGTAAGTAAAACCTACTGAATAAAGACTCGCTCATGAATGTTGGCCCCTCTAAAATGTAGATAGATGCACCTCTGCACCATCCTCACATCTGAGATGCTGGAATGTTGGGAGGTTTAGAAAAGTGAGTGAAGGAATTAAGCTATAATAAAAAAAACAGTACTACTAATACATGATCAATCAAATAACAATCTCTAAACCTCTGATACCAACTACTCCACAACAACTCAGAAGCCTTTCTTCTCCTTACTGAACCCTGATGGCAGCAAAATGACAAAACAGCTACAGTAGCTTACAACTGGCTCAGCATGTACTCACATGTTCACCTTTCTTTTTAAACTTTGGTGAGGTTTAAATGGCTACAAGAAACCAGTGTTAACTGTTAGTAGGAGACCTGATGGGGTCCAATTCAGACACACACCCACATCTACCCCAACCACCTCTGCAAGACTTCTCTGTAATAGCAGAGAACCTTATTCACATAAAACTAGACGTCAGGAAAATATCAAATTGATCCCCCTGTGGCATGTTGGTGCCCTTGGGCTACAAACCACTCTTTGGACCTCACGGTGTCTGTTTACATTTTAAACTGTAACAATTCTAAAAAAAACCATGTCTGTATCCAGTGAAATGCGGGTGTGAAGTTGGTTCGACTTTTGGTCTAATAGTACTGTACAGACGTTCTTTCAGCAAGTGAAGCTGCATAAGACAATTAAATAGGACTTTGTAAACACATTTAAACTGAAATATCTTCATATAAAAATAGATGCATGTGTCTGGGTATGTAAAAAAGTAGACTTTATTGATTAAAACACACTGTTTTTATTTGTACACTAAAACAGTTTGTTCAATGGTTGCCTCAGGGCAGCAATGTGCAGTTAGTCCACTTTTGTTAGGCTGGTTAGCTTGCCATGCCTGGAGATGCACTGGGATGCATAGTTTAGTATCTACTAATGCTCACAGAAAAGAGACAGGAACATTTTACAGGTGGAAGCAACGTGACTGGGCAGTAATGGTGGCTCCTACTGACAGTGAGCTGGACGAAAGTCATAGTGAGGAAGAATGCATCTCAGAGCCAGATGTGATGGACACTCAGGAGTCAGTCGCTAGAGTAACCTATGCTTTTTAGCATTTATTGATAATGACAAATAGGAAATCAAAGTGTTTTGTCAAAATGAGAAGCATGAATTCAAATAATAACCCACACAAACATATTCAGACACACTGAAACAGTCAAACCCGCAAGTTTCATATTGCAATTGATTGAAATTATTTGTAGTTGATGTCTGTCAAAAAAACTTTTCTAAGTATTCAGTGTATTGCTTGTGGACTACACCTTTATTGTAAAGGGGGGTGCAGAGTGACAGAAAGGAACCAGGGGAGGAGTAGATAGATGGGGGTAGATAGACAGGGGGTTCAAGTCAGATCACTACGCACACACTGCATGTGTATATGGTGCTCCACCAAAACCACTCTGCTGTCGGGGTACCCCTCAAACATGCCTGTCTGTGAGGAATTTGCATTTTCCCCATGTGCCTCTGCCTGCTGGTTTCCACCTGCAGTCCAGAGACATGCAGGTCAGGTTGACTGATGGCAGACTGTCAACTCCAGACTGCTACAATGCAAAACAATGGCAAAATGTTCAGGTGATTGACAAGAGACTGGAGCTGAATGTTTTCCAGCTTTGAGAATGTCAGTATATGTAAGGGTCATATATCAGGACAAACCATGTGGGTCAGACATGAATTGAGAAAGAAAGACATCAAGCTTTTTCCCCGCTGTTCACATTTATTCAAAGATCAAAATCTGATTTCAGTCAGATCTGAATTCACATTACTTGGGAGTTCTTCTCAGCTGCAGGTGAAACTCATTTCCTCGTGTACCGAATAAATCTCAGATCATCCAATGTAAAACTGAAGCTGGACTCAAATCCCAGTCACAGTGAGCACTGTCCAATTCTCCTGGCAGCAACTATCACAGTAAAAGCAACTCATTCTCATTCTCCAGCTCTCAACATCTTATTGTTGTTCATTAATGCAGTTCATTACTGAGCCTGCATGTAATTATACTTGTGTGAATTCCCACATGCTCGCTTTGAGAAAGCTGAAATAACACAAGTTCCTCCAGCAACTTTCTACATCAACACAACAAGAGTCTTAATGGCACACAACTGGCAGCATTAATGGCAATGGAAACTATCATATTCAGTAAACAAAAAAGAAGTCTTTTCATTACATCGGAGATGTTTCTCTCAGGCCCTGCAGGGCAGAACAGGGACTGAAGCATGCTGTGTTAGTGTCTGAGTGTGTTTTGAAAGGCTGTCCCAGTTGCTACAGAGTATTACCTTGTCAGTAATGCCTCTACATTACTCCTGCATTACTCAAGTCTGGTCTCACTCTTGAGTCTGACTTCAAGACATTTTCTCTTTCTTGTCTTGATCTCATGGGTGTATTGAGTGTGCCAGTCAGTTCTATTCTAACTGTTTTTCTTGCCCAGCATCACTGGGTGCTGTAATACTTTACGGTAGCAGACCTGACCAACTGCTCTTCTGCAGGTCAGGTGTCAGTGCACCAGAGTTCTTTAATATTGCAAGTGCATGTAATAGTTATATTCTGTGGTGCCTCTGTCATGTAAGCATGCTCATTTTAGATGCATGGTTTTATGCATGTTAAAGTATAACTTCATAGATAGCTTGCAAGGGTGGAAATACTGAGATCATTTATTTAAGTAAAAGAATCAACACCACTATGTAAAAATACTTTATTAAGTAAAAGTCCTGCATTTAAAATCCTAGTTAAGTAAATGTACATAGGAAAATGAAAATCAGGAAAATGTATTCAATTACCAAGGTAGAAGCACACTTTATGTACTATTATAGTGGTAATGTTACATCAGTGTGTAAATACCATTTTCTTGCTCTAGCTTATTATGGAGGAGAGTGTTTTAAAGTCAGTTTAAGTAGCTTAGCTCCACTGTGTCCAACCTAGGCCTCCAAAGGGCCACAAGATAATCCTGAGGGGTTGTAAGATGATTAATAGGGTCGGATAGAAGGAAAACAACATCCCGATATACAAATGTGTATTCATCTTTGGATTTCTTGACTTTCTAATCTTTGCTATTTTTGGTGGAACTAATAGAAATGTGATAAGGGGTCAAAAGAATCTGTTTTATTATATGGAGTCACAAGTCAGAAAGATGGAGGACCACTGATTCAGTGCTTAACAATGTGTTCTTATTGATATACCCATCATACCCATAAAAGCTAAATGTGAAGCAATCAATAACTATAACTGTCAACTAAATCTACTGATGTATTAAGACATTAAGATACACCACACTGTAAATCTGCGTCTTGTCATCTTGTGTAAATATTTGCTAGAGAACTACTATTGGGATTTTGATTGATGTGTAGACTTAATGTAAGCTGGTTTCATTATGCTTATACTGTACATTGAACAAACAGCTTGATGAAGCTGGAGAGGTTAATCATCCTATTCAGTGTCTGAATGTTTGAAAGTATTAATTTTCAGAAACTTTCATGTTCATGTCAAACCATCATCTGACGCTTAGTGAACATAGCGCGGAAGGAATTTTAATTAAAGCAAACCTCATATCTCCCTGGGAATACACCGTTCAAAGCGCAGGATGGGGCATCAGGTTGGATGGGTTGTGGGCTGAATGGTCCTTTAAAAATGTTTGCCCATGCAGTTTCTCATTTTATATTTAATCAGTCTCACTATACTCTCATCTAAAACTACACTGAGTGTGGAGGATAAGAGTCCTAATATGACAAGCAGCCAGAGGAGAGGAGCAGCGAAGTCCGCACCACAGAGCCTTGATAATTTTCCTGTTAACACATCAAGACCATGACAGACAGGAATCAGATAAGGAGCATGTTAGAGCTCATGCAACCGTACACACTGAACCAGGACAAGACTGCCAGATGGACAAAGGGGATCCTGGCTTACTGTTACTGTTAGAGCTGTTGTGTGAGAGGGACTGCTGTCGATTCAGCTTTTTAGCAGAAGAATCTCACTCTTTGCTGGTCGATTTCTGGACATTTCGGTCCCCAGGGGATGTGGAAGAATGGTAATGTTTCAGGTGAGAAGCACACACACATGCACATGAACAGACATAGATGCACGCAAACGCAGATACACTAGTGAGCACATTCACATGTGCACACACATCTCCAGCACAGCATAGCGTTGGGAATGTAGTGCACATGTGTGCACCGCGCACATATTAAACACACACCAGCACATATGCACACAGGAGCTCACGCACGCACCCCACACCACCCCATCAACCGTACCTCCAGACTTGCCCCAGCTGCAGGACGTGAAGCACGGTTTGAAAGACCCACATGCAGACTGTGCAGCACCTCCGGGGGCCCCCGACTGCCGTCGCAGGTGGGGCGGAGGGCGCGTAAACGGCGGTAGCATTC